CTTCGAGCATAGCTCAATAGGCAAAAGAATAGTAGACAAAATGGACCATGTACTCACGTTTCATCTGGAAGAGAATCTATCAAACCACATTAAATATAGACGGATGGCGGAGGAATTTACAACATCTACTGGGACAAATCTAAATGCACTGATCGAGTCAACGCTGGAATCTATTAAATCTCAGGCAACCCTCCTATCTTCCGGAGTACTGGAAGTACTGGAGCGATGGGGAAAGCTGCTAAACCAGTGCATTAGATACAAAAGACGCTAAAGACTACATATGATATATAAAACCGTTTTCAAATGGGCTAGAAGACAGATTCAGTTGAGGTGCAATGCTCTGCCAGGTGAGATTTAATATTTATCGGCATACAAGATAGTCAAGATTATGTCTAATGGCTACCAAGAACCTTGCATACAAGATCTCGAAAGGCTTTCAGGGCAGTTGTTAGCCTAAAGACACTGACATCATGAGGGAATAGCAGTATCACGAAGATAAGTAGAACAAGGTGAAGGGAAGAAGCCATGAGTGAGAGTTTGGAATACCTCTTCTGCTTCTATTTAACCTTACCGAGAACTCGTCCCTGGCATCCAGAAGCTGCGCAGTTAAGAGGACTAGAAGCAGTGTTAAAATTTGGATATTCTCTGTTTGAAATTTGGCAAAAAGCTTTGACGTTCGACTTCAACTACTTATACTCCATCTGGCACAACAAAAGACCATCTAACCGCAGGTCTATGTAAGGCATAACAGAGGAGCCAATACAAACTAACCTTAACCTTTACACATTTCATAATATTTACAGTAGTCCACAACGCGTCCACATCGTGCTTTCGATGCTGTACCCACCGGTAGAAGCAGATTAAGAGGAACAGCGAAAATAGGGAAGGTTTTAATCGCGTAAATGGTGTCTACGTCGGTAAAGAAGAAGAAGAAACCCACATCGAAGCATTATTTTTGTTGTAGGCTAAGACGGCTACGCTGACTAGATCATGTCGTCCGAATGGATGAAAGCACTCCAGCTTTGAAAGTATTCGATCGTGGAAGCAGAGGAAGAGAAAGGACTCCACTTTGTTTGAAGGATCACGTGGAGAGTGTCCTGGCTTCACTTGGTATTTCCAACAGGCGCCAGACAGCGAAAAAAAGAGAGGAATGGCGTGCTAATATTGATTCGGCTATAATCAAGGCGATGCCAACACAAATAAGAAGAAAAGGAGAAGAACATGGCAATGCAAATTGCATTTAAATGACCACACTTTGGGTACTTTTCTATAGCTTGATACCCGCCTGAAAGATGTTGACGAAGAACTTCCTCTGTGTTTGTGGCCTCGCACTCTGTAATGTACAAAGGTTGGGGCCTATCTTAGCTGTCAAAATCAGTGTCGAGGCGGTAGAGAAGTGTATTTCGAGCATGAATTTTTGGTTTGTCACGCACACTCTCTGTCGAACCTGGCATTGAGATCTGATTTTGATGGACATCGTGGTGGGACTGAGCTCATAAATGCCTTTCAAGCATTCATAGAAGTAATCCTTGATCCCTTATATTTATAACATATATAAAGTTATAGAAAGTTGTTGAAAGATTTTTTGTTACTAGAAGCTCATCTCATCTCAATATATCGAAGGTTTATTCGTCTATTGGACAGCAAAGATGTCAACCCAAATTTTTGACCTGGGCGAAGCTGACGAGTTCTTGTCTTACATTCAGCGACCGCGTTTTTCGGGTAAATTCTTTTGAATCACGGTTCTCAATGCGTTAGCAGAGGTCATCTTGGTGCCTACCTAACCGTATTGGACGCTGCTCACGAGTTGTTCACCGAAGTCTACACTTTTTGACGACCCTCGTAGTTTGCCATAACCAACACTGGCGTAAGAAAAATCACGAAAAAAACTAAATAAATATTTTTGACTTTTGTAGCTCCGAAGTGCGGAAATATACATACAATACCGTTATGCGCGTCTATGGAAAAATTAAATCAAGTAAAAAAACACCCGACTTTGGTGTGAAAAAACTCACGTCAGCGGTCTCGAAGAAAAAAAAACTGTTGGCGAACGAAAAAAGAAAACAAGAAATCAATAAAGTAAATAAAAATGAGCAAAAGGCAAAAAACTCTCGAATTGCGGAAATATTGCTTGCCGCCGCAGAAAAAGTGCAACCTACCAATAAAATATCGGTATTGTGGCAATAAAACATCACAGGCGATTAATTTCATGAACTGGCAAGTGAAATCACAAATAGATTTATGGTATGTAAAATATATTTAAGGGCAAACATAAAATATATACATACAAACAAACATATATAGGAGGGCATATAGCGAAATTATGGGGCAAAAGGAGCATGAAAAATCAAATTAAATGAAAAAGAAAAATAGTTTTGAGCTTAACAGTCTGCTGGCTGACCTTTTGAGTGAGACATAAAATATCTCATACCAATTAAGAGCGTAAGCTATGAGTCAAAAGAAATAGAGTTTGAAAGTGAAGGAGTTCAACCAATGGACTCCTTGTGCATTTAACAACTAAAGGAAATCCTCTCACTCTAAGGGAAAGAGCCGAGAAAAAACAGTGAGAAAAGTCCCTAGTGCTTCCTAGCTAGAGTATAAGAAGAAGGTGCAAGGAAACCTTCAATCTGTATAAGTGGGTCTACACAACGCTGTGTTATGCACTATAGGCTTAAGCGCCAAAACCACGGTCAGCAATTTTTCGGTTGGTTACTGAGCAACGACTTCTGCTTCATTGCTGTGGGCACAGCTTTCCGCTCTCAGTACCTATCCCACCACATATATGTTGTGATCGATTGCAAGGTTTCCAGGTAGACACCCTGATTTCTCTCTACTGCAGTTCAATTTTATTCATAGTACCAACACCTTTTCTTGGCACTGCCGAAAAACAATTGTTTCCGCAGCAACAGTGTGCAGGGAGTTTGATTTGCCGTTCCACAGTTCCTTGCTGCTGAGTGCACTCAAAGAGCAGGTGGAATACGGTTCAGCAGCTTGTTGTAGCATCGAACCTTCCTTGCGCTTATTGAAGGGCATCATTTGATACACAAAGTCGGTTGAATATCCTCGCTGCGATAGGATAGTGTTCCGAGCTGGTTTTAGGTTCATGGAAGCACGCTCATCTAGAACCTTGGAGACATGATTTCCGACAATCACAACATTGATCGATTTGATGACTAAGTAATGATGTTTTGCACCGCACAAAGATTAGGCAGAGAAACCTGAACGAATGGCACTGCAATATCGATGAAAAAGAGACTAGAAAGATTTTTCTATGGCTTATATTATGTATATACAATTGGCGCTTTGTAACCGCTGTAGCATTTTTCGGTCGAGCCCCTCCACCAGCTTTTGGTATGCATCTCCACGAACGGATAATGGATTTTTAGGAAGAACTTTTTATTTCATGTCAGAAAAACACTCGGAGGGCTCGATATACTCTCCTGAGGGGCGACCGCAATTAGAGAACTTAACTTTGTATAGTTTTTTACGTTGGTCGTATGAGGACTCGAACCATGACTTGTCGAATGTCACTCGATTTTTTCTGCCCAGAGTAAATGAATTAATCTCCCGCTTCAGCGAAGTAGAGTTCAAAGAGAGCCCAACTTTGGACATTAACCGAAAACGTTAGCTCCGAAGCCTTCAAGGACAACTTGTATCAATTTTTTAGCTTGGAATCAAGGAATGACAATCCAATGCTATTTAGGTCAAAGAAAAGCTTCTAATTCAACTTCAAATTTTATCTCTGTTTGAGTTCGCAGCCTACATAACGCGCTATGATGAAATATTTATATCCATACCTTACCGTCGATGTTAGGAAGACCTTGGTGAAATCAAAGCGATGAGGAAATCCGATAACCCGTCTCAAAACCCAAGCCAATATAACTCGTGTACAGTCCAGTTCTCAATTTGGACTGAGTAGGCAAACCAACGACTCACCGATTTGCGTCCACGCCTCGAATTGAAAGACGTTGTGACCCAAATAAGCCTTTAATGAGCGCTGGGAATTCGCTAACGAGCGGTGCCCTTGCCGAAAATCAAAACTGGGCTTGGCGATTCTAACGCCAGGACGAGCAAAGAAGGTAACTTCGGCACAACAGTGTTGACGAAACAATTCCAAAACGAGTTAAAGCTATCCGAATTCGCCGGGGTCCGAAATACGGTTTCTTTCGTACTGGTTTCCAGCATAAGAGAATTTCTCAAGCTATATGTTGATCTTAAAGCACGAAACGAGATCTATCCTGTTGTTATTGAAGGACATCATGTCCCCACTTTAGTTGTACGCTCCGATTCAAAGCATTATCTTATGGCGGCAAAGATATGAACCCACCTTTTTAGGGTATAAAAGAGAAAAGCGGAAACGCTCGAAAATTCTACGAAAAAATAAGTCAGCTTACGAACGTTTCAAGTCCGGTGCCTTTTCTAGGACCGGGAAAGAGAATCTTCTAACTGAAATAATTGAGTTAATGAGCGGAGCGCTTCCCCAGCCTGTTCAAATGCTGCAACGGAAATGGAGCACCCGGTGACAGCGTACCCCAATATCGGTGGAAGCAGTGGAACAGGTAGACCTATTCGGGGTGTCTCAAAGCCAAATCAGAAAAAAGAAATACGTCTATTGACACCTATGACTTGAGAAATCCTTCAAAAGCTTTAGGTAATCAATTGAGGTTTTTTGATGCACGCACCGTATATACATATGTACATTATTTATAAATAAATGTAATTAATCATTATTAATTGCTGACAATGAAAGTAAACTTTATCAGCTTTAAGAACAACAACAACTAACCAAGAAATCCCACAACAGTCAACAGCGAAAATAGAAACAACAACACAAGAGGCCCACAACTTCTAGTATAACATCATATTTGATAAGATAAAAATCAATCATGAATCGTACGAGTCGATGATGCAGACAATTTATGATAACAGAAGTATCTTCATTGTCATTAGTTAGCAATTATAATTGCATTTGCAATGTACAATATATATAAATTCTTTGAGTGCATAGTCGGCTAAACGCGACACAAAGATCGGCAGAAAGAATTATGTTACGCTTAATATTATGGTTAACCATTTTAATAGCTGTGATTTTGTGTGCTGATTTACAAGTTGAATGTGAGTCTAAACTCGAGTGTGGAAGTGTTTGGAAGAAGTTACAGTTGCAAGCAAAGCTACAAGCTGAGTTCATCTAATGAAGGACAAGAGAACCGGCTGGCTCGACTGGTTTTGAAACAGTTTAAAGGGGGCATGAAAAAGCTGACCTGGCATAAATGAATTGTGATTCCGCTTGAAACGAAAGTTTACTTTTAAGGGCAAATCACCAGTTCCATTGCCAAACACTATGGTTGATTAGTTATCAATGGACGTGGGGTCAAGACCTGACCTGTGCCGGCCAAAGACACTCCCGTAAAAATCCCTACAAATCATTTTGGCCATTAATTTGCTGTTAATAACAACAGAACCCTATTGTACTTCGAATATGTGAATTTAAGTGTAGAATTTAAATGGGCTGGTATTTTATTTTTTTCAAAGTACAAATCTAAGAAGAGTATAGAAAAAAAAATATATATAAAAAAAATGTATAAAAAAAAATGTATAAAAAAATGTATAAAAAAAAATATTTAAAAAAAAATATAAAATACATATAAATAAATACATAAAAAAAATATATAAAAAAAATATATATAAAAAAAGTATATTAATAAAATATAAAAAAAAAATATATAAACAAAAATATATTAAAAAATATATAAAAACAAATATATAAAAAAAATATAGAAAACGATATACCAAAAATATATTTAAAAAAATAACAATAAAAATAAACAAAAAAATAAATAAAAATAAAAAAATATATATAAGAAAAATATTTAAAAAACACATAAAAAATAATATAAATAAAATATATTAAAAATTTATAAAAAATATGTATAAAAAAATATATATAGAAAAATATATATAGAAAAATATATATAAAAAAATATATATAAAAAAATATATATAAAAAAATATATATAAAAAAATATATATAAAAAGATATATATAAAAAAATATATATAAAAAAATATATATGAAAAAATATATATAAAAAAATTTATAAAAAAAATATATAAAAAAATTTATAGAAAAAATATATAAAAAAAAATATATAAAATATATATAAAAAAAAATAAATAACAAAAAAATATATGACTATACAACAAAAAAATATATAACTATACAAAAAAAAAATATATAACTATACAACAAAAAAATATATAACTATTCAACAAAAAAATATATAACTATTCAACAAAAAAATATATAACTATACAACAAAAAATATATAACTATACAACACGAAAATATATAGCTATACAACAAAAAAATATATAACAAAAAAATATTTAAAAAAAAAATTTTAAAAAATTTAAAAAAAAAATATTAAAAAATTAAAAAAAAAATATTAAAAAAAATATTAAAAAAAATATTAAAAAAAAATATGTAATAAAAAATATTAAAAAAAAATATATTCAAAAAAATATTAAAAAAAAAATTTTTTTAAAATATTAAAAAAAAAATTTTAAAAAAATCGGTAAATGGAAAAAAATATCGTTGAATGGACAAAATATTAAAAAAAAAATATCGTTGAATGGAAAAAATATTAAAAAAAAAATATCGTTGAATGGAAAAAATATTAAAAAAAAAATATCGTTGAATGGAAAAAATATTAAAAAAAAATATCGTTGAATGGAAAAAATATTTAAAAAAAAAAATCGTTAAATGGAAAAAATATTTAAAGAAAAAATCGTTAAATGGAAAAAATATTAAAAAAAAAATATCGTTGAATGGAAAAAATATTAAAAAAAAAAATATCGTTGAATGGAAAAAATATTAAAAAAAAAAAATATCGTTGAATGGAAAAAATATTAAAAAAAAATATGGTTGAATGGAAAAAATATTTGAAGCTTATGATCTAGTGAGAAGATTTATTCTTCTTCCTTTTTTTCAAAATAAAAAAATCTTGCCAGTGTTTTCGAGTTATACCCCATTTTCAAATATTCCACTTCTGAATTTTAATCATTTGTTCAAAAAAAAAAATAAATAAAACTAAAACTCATTTCATTAGTTCGTTTGTAAAGCTCTATGTCAACTCCCACCAAATGTGTGTACCTTTTCATTTGCAGATCCCTATTGTTTTCGCTTTACATGGATTGGTCCATATCAGGATAAGAAGAATATTGCCGGTTTGACTTGTGAGCACTTGCGTGAAGATTTCAAGAATGTGCCATGTCGACGACCCTTGGTGGCCACTGGTACATCCAATTTATTGAAAACTATTTTTTGTTTTTTTTTTGTCCTTTATTAATTTTTGTTCTATGTTTATTTAATTTTTTAAATAGATAACGATGCCATACCAGATACAGTCGATTTGTGGCGAAATAATTTCAAGCAACCAAATGCATTTGGCTGTCCAATGGTGCCCGGTGAGGCATGCGTGAAATATACATATATCTATAATAAAGGCGGTGAGTGATTAAGATAATTTAGAGACAAAGTAATATTACAAAAAAACAAAATTAAAAAGTGACGGAAAATATTTTACATTCACAATTAATATATTTTTTCATGAAGAAGTTATTTAGTTAATTAAAAATTTAAATTGTTTATTGTATTAAATATTTAAATAAAATATTTATAACTTCCCTTTTCACAATTTTTCGTTACTTTTTAGTGCAAAACATAACCTACATGTGTGCTAAAGTCAATGCTACCAACGGTTGTTATCGGCAGAAGTACATATCCGGTTTGGAGGTAGAGGTTTGTGTCTGTGATTCGGAGCTGGGTTCGATACCTTGCAATCGTGCGTCGGTGACAATACAAAATTTAAGCAAAAATAATATTTTTGGTCTGCTACTAAGTGCGCTTTTGTGTGTTTGGCTTAAATATATGTAGCTATAGTATAAATTATTCTTTTTTTTTTATTTGGAAAATTATAAAACAAATAAAAAAATATTATTTAAAAGAAGTAATTAGAAATAGTCATTAAAGGTCAGCCGATTTTTATATTTGTTCAAAAAAAATATTCCACTTTATTTACTACAATCAAAGATATCTCAGCACACCTCTCAATCTGCTTCCTGCTCATCATCGTTTGTGGGCTTCTTTAAACCGCCAAACACCTTCGCCGGTATGGCTTGTTGCTCAATGCGTAATCTTTTGGCTGCAATTACATTCTCTTCATTTCCGCCACGCTTTGTCGCGTCAGCACCACCATTACCAGCAGCACCCTCGTCATCATCGCCGTCGTCCTCATCATCATCATCTTCCTCATCACTCTCTCCAATGTCAATTTCATCGGGATTAACCACTTTATCCTTGGCTTTGCCACCTTGCGTTTCGCCACGCACAAACATAATATTACCGCTAGTTTGTGGCTTAAGCGTTTGTTGTTGACGTGCCTGTTGCTCGGCTGCCGCTTTGGCCTCCAGCAGACGCATTGCATCGCCACCAGCTTCGGCGCCGGCGCCATTTGTGCCCGATTGATTGAGAAATTGTGCAGCCATCATATTCACCTGGGTATTGTAGGTAGCTTGCACCGAGCGTTTGATGCGCAACATTTCACGCATCGTATCCTCATTGCCATGACGTACTTCGAACTCTTTCCAGGTTTGCCAAAATTCAGCGGTTATGCGTGGATCACAAACCTAAAAGTGTAAAATAAAGAAGAAATCCTTAGAAAATATAAATTCTTTTGAAGAAATTGCTGCTACATGCCTGCGAACAATGTGCGTAAATTGCACGCGCGCGATCGATTTCGCCCAATTTCGTTTCCATTTCCGCAAAACGCACACACATCGGTCGCATATTCTCCTCGGGCAAAGCTTCAATAGCCTTCTCGTAGATTTCACGAGTACGCGGTAAACCATAAATCTCTGCCGCTTTCTTTATGAATATATTATACATATCAAACATCTCTTCGGGCTTAACAGCGCTTGTTGCCCGATCATAAACGGCCATAGCATGGCGTGCCAAACCGTGTTCCTCTTCCAATTTTGCGTAGAGTAAATAAAAGTATTTAGCATGTTCTGGTGGACAATTTTCCAAACATTGTTCGAATAGATCGCGAGCACGTTCCAATTTCGTGCCACCATAACGTTTAAGAAACTTTGTCAAATACGCATTCCAAATATCAAATACATTTGGCCATTTAAATAGCGCAATGCCTTTCTCATATGCACGAAATGCTTCCTCAAAATAGTTGTGCTCCTCCAGAAAGAGGCCATAGTTAATGATTATTTGTGGTGTACAAATTTTCAAATCAATTATACGATCATAAACAGCTTTGCAGGTTTTGAAGGTGCCGAAGGATTCCTCCAAGTCGGCGTACATGGACCAAACTTTAAGTGAACGATAAAGACGCATTTGCACGGTTTCAGTGTCGTCATGATAAGCCACTTTTCGCTTGGGCATTGCAGTGGCTTTCTGCATCAAACGTAAAGCGCCTTCGAAATTCTCCTGCCTGTTGAATGTTCATGTAAGGTTTTAACTAATTTTTCTTTTTTTATTATATCAAAACCCAATTGTATACACACCTTATCTCCATTTCGGCCCACTCACACCAAACTGCTGCTAAATCTTCTACTTTCACATACTCAACCTCGGTGCCGCGTTCAAATACCACACGCGCATCCTCTACCTGGCTATTGGACTCGTAAAACTTTGCAAATTCCACCCACAATGTATGTAGTTTGCCGGCCGCAAGCTTTGGTTGTACCGTCTGCACTGCTTCTGTGTATGTATTAATTATTTCGTGTGGCTTGCCTTCATACAGCTTAACACGCTTATGCCATTCATGCACGTTATGTGGATTCTGTCGCAATAGCACACTATTTAGCAGTAATAGACGTCGCTCCATGAGATATTCGAAGCGTGCCAAACGTAATTCCACATCAATGTCATCTTCTTCGGTAGCATGCGGATCGTTTGCGACCATTTCCATGCGTTTATTCAATGATACCTCCTCAAACTGTGCGTACTCGTCGAAAACTTGCGTAAAATCACGCACTGTTGTTACGGTCTGTATGGCTTCTTCGTAAATATCCCGTGCGCGATCGAATAAACCTGAACGCACATAGTAATCTGCTAAAGAGTTCCATAAATGACCCAACTGATCAGTGTACCTGAAAGAGAAGAATATATATATAAATTATGCTCTTAAATAAGCGTAAACGAATGGCACAACTAACCGCCTCAAACCACTACGTATTATTGCATCCACATTCAATGAGTGAACTTTGTCTGGGTTCTTCGAAATTAAATCACACAACTCATTCCATAACTGATGATTCGATTTGCCATGCTTCGATACGAAATTCTCATTGTCAACCACTGATGCCAACTGTTGTGCTGCTTCATCCAAGCGTTCTACTTCCGTTAAATACTCTATGTACACCTCAGCATCTTCTGGACACAATTTCAGATAACGTCTGTAGATACGTACAGCTGTTTCGGGTATATCAAAGCGTCGTACGAATTTCAAATAAAGCGGCCAAATACGATGATGTTGTGTTATGGGCAAAGCGCGTAAAGCACGATCGAACAAATGCCTAGTACGTGTGATACGGCACTGTCCCGTCATAAATACACCGTAATCCATCCATATACGTGGCATTTTATGCATAAATACTAATGCTCTTTCAAATGTATTATTAACTTCGTCATACATGGGATCATTGAGCGGACGTCCACGCACTTGCTTGCGACGTGTACGTAAATAGTTGTACCAAATTTTATAACTGCCGGGCAGCTCTTTCAGTGCACGTTCATAGACAATATTGACGCCACAATTGGGAGCCTTGGATTTATGTTCGATATAGCGTAGCCAATGTTTCACGGAATATGCATTACGCAAAATCTCCTCCTCATAGGGCACATCTTCCTCGGGCTGCAAATAATTTATCGAAGAGTTAAAGTTTACGAAGTACATAAGAGACTTTTTTAAATATATTAAGGCAATATACATAGATACTTACAAAATCGATATCCACTGTAATTAACGGCTTATCAATGAGTGTCATATTTTATTTAAATGCACTTTTCTGGAAATGATTGTTTAACTCGCTAATATAATATAAACGTATGAACCGCGAAAAAATATTTATTACAAGAAAGCCAATCCATTTGCTGTAGTAAATTGCCTCAGCTGATTGGCAAACTAGTGAATTTTTAGTGTTGGAAAACTGAACTTTTTGAAATGTAATTAGGGCTTATACGAAAGAAAAGAATTCCAAACAAGATCATATACAATACATAAGAGACAGTCTCGATTTTTTATAATTTCCTTGTGGTATCGCATTTAATTACTACAGTTCAGCAAAATTGGCGACTGTAACGAAAATTGTTTAAGAATATTATTTTGAAAACATTAGTTGAACTTGAACATTCACATTCAAATTGAACTACTTCTTGAATTAATCAAAAGTAGACGGTAGGGACGAAAAATCAGGTAAAGATTTGGTTACACATTGAAGGCAATATACATAGATACTTACAAAATCGATATCCACTGTAATTAACGGCTTATCAATGAGTGTCATATTTTATTTAAATGCACTTTTCTAGAAATGATTGTTTAACTCGCTAATATAACATAAACGTATGAACCGCGAAAAAATATTTACCACAAGAAAGCCAATCTATTTGCTGCAGTCAATTGCCTCAGCTGATTGGCAAATTGGTAAATTTTTAGTGTTGGAAAACTGAACTTTTTGAAATGTAATTAGCGCTTATACGAAAGAAAAGAATTCCAAACAAGATCATATACAATACATATGAGACAGTCTCGATTTAATATAATTTCCTTGTGGTATCGCATTTAATTACTACAGTCATATACGTTCTTTGCTACAGTTCAGCAAAATTGGCGACTGTGACGAAAATTGTTTAAGAATATTATTTCGAAAACATTAGTTGAACTTGAACATTCACATTCAAATTGAACCACTCCTTGAATTATTAAAAGTAAACGGTAGGGACGAAATATCAGGTAAGGACTTGGCCTCATTTTTTGTTTAAAATAGTTGATTCAGCGTTATTCGAGTAAGCGGTGCTCATGCCAATTCAATAGAAGAGACATCTACCCCTAAGCAGCCATATGAGCAATTTTCCGAAATCTGTCTTCGACTTTCACCACACCTATTCAAATTAATTGAATTTAACTTCTAATTAGAAGATAAAAATTGAATAGGTTTCTCCAAACGACAATGCTCAACATATATTTTATTTGTGCTTGATAGCACCTTAATGTTGAAGAAAATTCACAGGGTGACTCAAAACTAAAATTTAATCATTATTATGCAGGATGCCGAATATTTCGTTTTTAAATAAGAAGTTCATGATTAAAGAACCCAATTAGCTCACACGTTTATTTTTCAATATTTTAACTATAATAAATATAAGTTAAAAATATATTTAAATAAATATTATTTTATCTAGCAAAAAAAAATATCCTTTCTTAAAGCAACCGTGGCGACTTTATAGAGTTACCGGCATCCATCAAAGTATAAATTAAATGCAACCCTAGTTGATTTTCTAGTTTTACTTTGTTGAGCAGTTTTCTATAGATTTTTGATGTGCCCGGTTGGAATATTTCCTTTGTACGGCTTGTAGCACATAGAAAAAACAATAAAATTGAAACCAGTTTGTGTAAATAAAAAATGTAACTTAACATAAATGCATTGTGTGACTAATATAAAATTATATTTTTAATAAAAGTTGAAGCTGGAAAGTCCACATCGTGAATACTTGCGTGCAAGAGTTAGTTGAATGCTATAAAAAGTGTAAATTTAAGGACATACCAACTAGATTGAAAGATAATCAAACATACCTTAATATATATACATACATATGTATGTGTTTGGTTGTGTATTTGCATTTGTATGCATATAAAGTGTAAAGTAAAGAATTTTGGAATAAAGACGAAAAAGGTAATATAGCAGTCAAATGAAAAGCATATAAGAGATAGCATTTGACATAAAAGCGCAGTGCAATCAAACAACACAACTAATCGACGCGTCCGTCATCAGGAATGCGCCGCAGTCGCAGTCGCTGTCGACGTAAAGCTCATCAACATTAACACGAACCCTTATCAACGTTTTATTCATCTTTGTTTGTTGAACTTTAGTGCATAATTTGAAAATACAGAAATGTAAATGTTTTCAAAGTTTTAAAGTAATCGAAAGTAAAAAAAATACATGTTAATTATCTACAAGCCATTTTTGCTTTTAGTTTGAGGAATTACTTTCCATTGAAAAAAAATACAGAGTCTGTTGTTATAGCATTAAACAAAATTATTTTTGGTATTTGAGTTTTTTCTAGTATTTATACAGATTTTTAACAGACCATCAGACCCTATTTCTGGGCATTTTCTATTATTATGTGCTAAGTGACCAAGTTGAATAATAAAAAGAATTTGTTTTGGACTACGTTTATAACAACGAATAAATTTAAGGGTAAAATTTTTGTTTAGAGCCACAGGCTTTCGCAAATAAATTTTATATGGATGGAAAGAGGAAAAATCATAGATTCTAAAACTAATTTTCTTTTATTTAGCTGACTTATAGTTTTTTAATAATTCTATTTTAAATTTCGAGTAATAAATGCAAAATTACGTCTACATTGGAGTTGCCGGACTACTAAGTAAAATAATACTTAAGTACAGAGCTTGTGTGTTTGTATTTTGGCTAGGCAGGCGTAGCCACTCAGTAAAAAGGTTTATAAATTAAGGATAAATATGCAGGAAAATATAATAAAGAAATTGTTTAAAAAATAAAATGTTATTCACTTAAAAATTTTAAGTTAAGTAAAACTCCTTTATAAATTGGCGGCCTTCGGCCGCGCTTTGGATTGTAACCCTGGGCCGGACCAACACCGGCTTCGCCTTGCACAGTATTCTTAAGTGAAACTCCTTTGTAAATTGGCGGCCTTCGGCCGCGCTTTGAATTGTAACCCTGGGCCGGACCTACACCGGCTTCGCCTAGCACAGTAAATTTTCATTTTGTTTTGTTTTCATATATTGTTGTTGAATATTGTTTAATTTGTATAATATTTTACATGGTACGGCACCGCCTTCCATGTTCATTGCTGAATATTGTCGAATTTACAGAATATTTTAGCCTGTACGGCAACACCATCCATATTAGTATGCAGCCATATTTAAGTGAACATTTGTTTTGATTATAATATAATTTGTTAATCTTTATTTAAGTCACATTGCGCGTTTATATATACAAAATAAGTGAAATTATTTAATAAAATCAAAGTAATATTTGTTTTTGTTAAGCAAAAATGAAAGAATAGTGACCGATTCATAAAGAAATAATGGAATAAAGTTAACACTTTATAACAACAAATAACTTATAAACTTTAATATATTCAAATTCCAAAAGTTAAAATATTGGAAAAATATATTTCTGTCATCATTCCTACGAAGTTTCATGTCGAAATTCCTGGTTGTTTGCTTACAATATCAAGTGGGGCTGCATATCAAAGCTCAGCCAAGATTTTTCATAATTGTTATGGGTGCACAAGTGGCTACTAGCAATAAAATTGTAACCAATATTTTTTTAAATTTTTTTCAGTACTGCGCAGCATGTGAATGTTTATGAATGAAAAGTGTATTTAATACGAAGTAAATATATACAATAAATTAATAAAGCGGAAATTAGATATCAAGCAAACAGTTTATAGCAAACAGTTTATAACAAATGATCATTCCATATTTTACGAATATGTGCAGTAAATAACTGTTTAAATTGTACACCGAAATAGGAACCGACAATTTTCACCTCCACAAAATTTTTGCTACAGAAAGGTAAGCTCGAAATTATTATTAAACACAAATTTATTTTTACACAAAGAAACACCTTAGAATTTAAAAATATATCTTCATATGTAAATGAAGATCTTTTTAATTCTTTTTTATTGTTCTCGAAAATTAGAGCAATTTGACTGAAAATTATCAACGGCGTCTCCTTCCTATTCGACAAGTGGCGCCTCCTTGTTTCACACCTTAATTAGAAATTCTATGGTATCTTAATTATGTTGTCTAGGTTTTTCTCATTCCATCTCATTTCCTTTTGTCTTTGTATTTTTCAAAAGACAAATTAGAATATCTAAATACGAAACGGTTTGATGTTGTGAAAAGGTTTCTTTTTGTGTTCTAATGGGTCTATTGCTATCAACTAATGCAACATATTGAGCCCATAAAATGTAATCTAAAGTTCTTAAATATTATTGTCCTTAATTTCTGGTATCCATTTCGTTAAATAGTCTAGACTCTGAGCACTACAATTAGCCTACCGACGGCTACTTAATTGAATACCAAATACCAAAGTTGTTTCCCAATTAGACCTGTTAAGGTTTCTAAGAATATCGATATTTATGACGATTTTTAAGTCGCTGGGCGTTACTTGATTCTTCGCATTGGAAATTAATTTAATTTTTAAAGTTTTACTTTCACTAAACAATTTAAATTTAAATTTTGCTCTTCACTTAAATTCAATGCAAATTAGAATATCTACTCGCAGAGTTGTTATACATTCAATCAGCTGATCAATACACATAAATTAACTTTGGTCTGCTTTGTACATCATCCCTGTGTTTAAACCAATTTAACACAGCTGCCATATTTTTTAGTAGCTTAAATAAAAATTTCATTGAATTGGAGAGAAATTCAATAAAAATTAAATTCCCATTTAAACAGAAACTAAAATTTTTAAGTTATTTTCTCTTACGATATTCTCTTTGTTTGATACGCGCTCCATATTTCTCTTCTTTATTGTTCGTTTAAAAGGAGTCACCATGAGTAAAAGGAGCAGGAAAGACCACATTGGTAGTAGATATTAGCTTCATACATACATTTTTTTATGTGGGTATGTATGTATGTACCTACATGTGTGGGTATCTTCATCTGTACGTTCGTGGATCTAGAAACTTGTTGTCCTCAACATAATTTTTTTTTGTACCACACACATACATACATGCATTGAGCGAATGTAAATTTTGCGAGTGCTTTAAGTGGCACAGTGGTTTCGGGGTGATAATAAAAGAATATAAAAAACTTTGAACTTCGTAGAAGGAATGAATGGCTTTCTGAAACTCAATAACATTCTCTCCAGGGATCACCAAGAAAGGACAGCCAAACGGCATCTTGTCAAACGAACGCAGAACTCTATAAGATATCCATATTTATATATTTAGACCCTAGAACTAATTCATAGAAATTATATCAACACTGGGTGAATGAGGATTAGCAACAGTTCAAACTTGATGAGCCACGGTTTGGACCCGGATATATGCGATAATTAGTAAATCAAAACAAGCGGACCAAGTGGGCAAACATGTAAAATCTGGCAAATTCCCCTCTGGCGAACTCAAGCTTTGGAACACCTTTAAATCATTGTCAAGTCCAAAGAGACGCGGTGACCAGGTGGAGAGCTACTTTGATAAATCTTTGCACCTTTCAGTTAACGAAATGAAGCGACAAGTTACCCACCATATGCGCAAACTACCAAACACCAGCGCGTTGTTTAATTTCTCCAGATGAGTCAATAGCTTATCGGGAAGACAAAATCCTAAAGCATATAGGTACCGAGAAAGTAGAATTTTTGAAAAAAGGTCCTCAAGTGCTTTTGACCACGCAAACAATACCCATATTTGGTAATATGGCAAAGTAGTCCCGCTACTAAAATAGTGGAATTTAGCCAACAAAGGAAAATTATATCGGCTGTTATACCTCCGCTCCCCCATAGCAAAGACACTTGAAGTGTCGCCACTTCTATCTTTCACTCACCTCCTGAGATCAGCCATGTTGATGTGTTACATGGCTTACGCAGAACTTGCGCTCGGTCTCTCCTGGAAATAATAAGATAGAGGTAGAAGAGGTGTCGTCTCTGTGCTACGGCTTAGCTTTATTTATTTAGATGCTCTCTGAACTAGCTGAAAACGTTTCTCTGATCTGCTGATATCTGCTCGAAATTGCCGTCTGGCCAGGATATTAATAAACTTAGCTCGAAGGGTAATTGCAATTTTTCCGTCGTCTCACCTAAACTCTTCACCAGCTGGACGAAAGAGTACCGAGAGTATAAAATCCAAAGTTACTGTGAGTCACATATCACTCCTCTCTGCTGCAAAAAATCTCTCAAGCCGCTAGACGGTAGCTCCTGATACCAGACAATGTGTCCATAGACTACGCCGCAACAATTTGGACACCGAAAACTAGCGAGAGGTGGTTAAAGAAGTAACAACCCTTGTCAGAATATCGTCTAGAGGGGTCATAGCAGGAAACCTGATGACACCTGCCCTCAATTTACTCGTTAAAGATCAATGCTCTCAGTTAAGTATAACTAGAAGCTCGTGTAAGAAGGATCTAATTAGATGTTACCACAGAAATCATTCCGACGGACATCTACATGAAGCTGAACTCCACCTCCGCCACATTAAGACACCATTCAGTACCATATCACAAGACTCTAGCAAACTCTAAACGCCATTCACAGCGACTCTCTCGACATCTTTATTATTTCTTATCCAGGTATTAGCGTTATCGGAATCCAACATTAAGACACAGCAGACGAAGAACTCGAGCCACCTTGCGAGATCCGAGTAATACTGGTACATTTCAGGTTTGGATACTCTAGTGGACTCAATTACTACTTAACCACACTAGCGGCATGTATGTCTTACTTGAGTCTACTCTTAGCATACACACTAAAATCTATTCCCACTAGACCGTACTATCCAAACAGCTCGTTTCTTAGTCGAGGGGGTTGAGCAAACAATATTCCCAGAACCCTTAGTTTTCACACATGACTTTTGCTATAATTCTAATAACCATTAGTTTTTCAAAAATCAGACACTGTCCGCCAAACTTTGAATGGCAAGCAAATATGCACTCGCTCACACACACACACGGTCTTAACAAATTTGGTCCACAATGCCGGTTACTCGCACAACTTTTATTATCGAGAAATACATACATACATACATACATCCCAACAGTAGGTAGATACACATAAGCACCTCGTAAGTTTGCATTGTAGGCGGCTGCCACAAACGAATTGTGTTGCGTTGTGTTGTGTAGTATTGAATTTTTGCCTGCTCCTTGTCAACCCAGCGTTTGCGCGAACGCTCTACACGACTCTCTGTCGGCACTCTTTAACAGCTTTAACAACTCTCAGTATTCACTCTCTGTGAGCCTCCAATAGCCAAGAAGCAACTAACTCCTGGACACATAGTGTGAGTGTGTGCGTACGTGTAGGTAGGTATTTGTGTTGGAGGAAACTTAATTTTCAGCCTGCTGAGTGCATTTGTCAGCTGCTTTACGCTCTTTATTGTTGGTTATTTCCCCCACTTTTTTTCGTTCCTTTGAAATATCCACTTCAAACTGGGATACCTACAACTCCATGCGGCACGAACATTTGAAGTCAGTTTCAGTTCAACGGCGTGCACTCGCACAATTCGGTACGAGTTGCGGTTTGTGCAGCAGAAAATTTAACGAAAATATACACATACATTCACACATGCACTGCACACCTCCTACGCTCATACATATATGCAATCTACAACAACAGACTTCACTGACGGTCGGACTGACTGACTAACTGGCTGACTGTTGGTAAAGTTTTGGACTGAAAATTTTTGTAATATGTGTTGTTGTGATATAGTGAAAAGCTATATATACAAACATATGTATGTACACACATATGTATGTACACGTATGTTCGAATATAAGCTCGGGAACTGTGAAAATGGTGAAAAAAGTTAATGAAGCACAAAAACAACTATAAATTATATCGCGTCCAGCGCTTAAGCTGCGTATCTACTATGAGTTACGTTGAAAAATCAATGCAAATCAAATTTCGTAAAATCAAATTGTGCACACCGAGGAGTGTAAGAGGCGTTCAGTGAAGTGAAATGCAAGGAAAGCGTAAGAAAATGTTGGAAAATTAAAAAAAAAAATATATATACATATATATATATATAGTATATATATGTATGTATATTCAGAAAGTGTTAGTGCAGTTAATGGATCCACCATAAAAAAGTATGATTTCATTTGAAGGCGAAAAAGCGATAAATTAAAATATTAAAAAAATTATTGAATAGTGGAAAAAGTGTGAAATAGTTGGATATAGAAATATTAAAATAGTATATTTCAAAAAAAAAAAATAAAATAAAATAGGAAATAATAAAGCAAGGAAAATTAGAGAATTGAAAAAAAGTTAGAAAATTTTGAAAAAATTTATATGTGTTGAGACTAATATTAGAGAGTATTTAAAAGTATTAAAAATGTAATATTTTTTTTTTTTATTAAACATAAAAAGATATACAAATAATTATAGATACAAAAGAAATATTTGAAAATATTATGGTAAAATAAAAAATTAAATTAGTTAAATAAAATGCATTAAAAAAAATTATGAAGCACTCCTAAAAAAAAAGTGTGGAAAAGGTGAAAAAATATTGATAAATTTGACATTCAAAAAACTATTAAAAAGTATTGAAAAGAGTATTAAAGAAAGCATAAGAAAGTATTAAACAATAGTACTTAACTAATAAATAATTGAAGATAACAGAAGAAGATATTGAAAAAATATGAAAAAGTATTGAAAAGTATTAATAACTTTAGAAAAAAATAATTTTAAATTAAAAAAGTTAAATGAAATGAAAATAAATTTTCTAACAAAAGTTTACATTATTAATTTACAAAAAAATTGTATGAAAAAATTATTTAAAATAATACATTAAAGTATAAATATATGAAAATTAAAAAAAAAGTGGAAAATTATTGAAAAGGTTGACATATTTAAA